AATGAAAATAATATAAATAAATTGGTAAGTATACAAAAATTAAACATGAAAGTATTTGCTGCTAAATATATTATCTGATTAGCAAAGAACATTGAAAAGAAATAATTAGTTTGGTAAAATTTTAATTTTAATTTTAGTTTCCATATTAGATTGTCGAATTGGGAAGGATCAATCTTTTTTTTTTTCACTTACATGTATTTTTTATTATGCCATCTTTAGATGAAAAAGTTTACCTGAAGTTGGTTACAATTTAATTACACCACCAATTTTGTGTTTTACAATATCATTACATTTATTTTCCTTTCAAATCACATAATATTATCAGAGAATTTGCCATTAATGCCATTATAAATTCACTTCAGCATGAAAGTTGTTACAAAGTAAGCATGCCTACCATGGTCGTCTCCGCAATAGAACCAAAGCTGTTTATGAATATGTTGCATGTAACATTAACTGGAGGGCCTGAAAAAAAGATTAGAACAAAAGGGCTGTTTAGAGACTTATCTAAGATATTTTCAAATCATTCCATACTCTCATTAAATTCATGTATGTGTTGCTGATTTAGAAGTGAAAATAAATTATAAACAACAACATCTCTTTGTATGTATATGTGCAGATTTTAAAAATTCTATTGCAATTATTTCATTTAGTGACAACAGTTTGGTTTGTAAGTTGTAAGGTTCATGGTGTCCTTAGGACACCGATGATGAACATCATATATAAACATTTAAAATCCCTTGGAATCAGTTTTCTTGATCTATATCTATCTAAATGACTCTGTTAATGCTGTTTGAGTAAGTCTAACATTTGAGCCCCTTCAAGGATAGTTTCTATTTTTCCCCCCCATACATGGATCATATATTTTCTCTGCACAGCTCCTTTTTTTTTTTTTTGCATGTTTTATAACTAGATTCAATTTCAAACTGCAGAAGTTGGTAAAAATCTTCAATTTCCTTGTCTTTGGCTTTGGTGGTTGGTCCATAAACTTGGGTAATAGTAGTATTAACTGGTCTTTCTTGTAGGTGTATGGATATTACCTTATCACTGACAGCATTGTGCTTCAGGATAGATCTTGAAACATTCTTTGTGATGATGAATGCCATGCTATTCCTCTTCAATTTCTCATTCCTGGCATAATAGATCATATGGTTGTCTAAGTCAAAATGGCCCAAACCCATCCATTTCGGCTCACTAATGCCAAGGATATCGATCTTTATGCATTCCATTTCATTTTTGACAACTCCAATTTTCCTAGATTCATACTTATTACATTCTATGTTTTGATTATTAATGGATATTTGTGGTGGCATAGTGGCTAAGGCATTTGACTGCTAACCTGAAGGCTGGTGATTCAAGCCCACAAGCCACTTCTCCAAAGGAAGACTGGTCGATCTACTTCTATAGAGATACTTCCTTAGAAACCCAATGAAAGATTGCTATGAGTCAGATTTGATTTGACGGCAGTGAGCTTGTGAGTTTGCAGCGTTTTCTTCCCATTTTAATTTGTGCTACATCAGCAAGTAGAGGTCCCAAAAGCTTTACTCCAACTACATCATTAAGGTCAACTCTACTTTGAGGAGGCAGCTCTTGCTCAGTCATATTTTGAGTGCCTTCTGACCCAAGGGGCTCATCTTCTGGCATTGTAACAGACAAAGTTTCAGGGCTATTCATAAACTTTTCCAATAATATATCAGACAGTGTTTCACTGCTATTCATAAGGTTTTCATTGGTTAATTCTTTGAGAAGTACATGGCCCCTTCTTTCTTTCAAGTCTGTTTTAGTCTGGAAGCGCCAATGAAATGTGTCCACCATCGATGACCCATTAGATATTTGAAAAACTTGTGGCATAGCCTCCAGCCTCACCGCAACATGTAAGCCATCACAGTATTACAAACTGACTGATGTGACATGCAAACGTGCAATCAAGATGTGTTAATTATCACTGGTGATTGGAATGCAAAAGTTGGAAACAAAGAAGAGTCACCTGTTGTGATAAAGTTAAAACACCCACCTTGGTGATAGAAATGATGCTGGAGATTGCAAGATAGAATTTTGCAAGACCAACAACTTATTCATTGAAAATATCTTTTTCAACAACATGAACGGCAACTATACACATGGACTTTGCCAGATGAAACACAGAAGAATCTGATTGACTACATCTATGGAAAGAGGTGATTCAGAAGCTCAAAACAAGGGCAGGAGCTGACTGTGGAACAGACCGTCAATTGTTCATATGCAAGTTCAAGCAGAAGCTGAAGACAATTAAAACAAGTTCATGAGAGCCAAAATAAAACCTTGATAATATCCCATCTGACTTTGGAAACCATCTAAAGAACAGATTTGACACATTGAACACTGGTGACCGAAAAGCAGACAAATTGTCAGATGACATAAAGAACATCATACAGGAAGAAAGAAAAGGGTCATTAAAAAGACAGGGAAGGAAGAAAATACTAAAGGGGATGTCAGAAGAGACTCTGAATCTTGCTCTTGAACAGAGAGTGGCGAAAGCAAACAGAAGAAATGACAAGATAAAAGAGCTGAACAGAAGATTTCAAAGAGCATCACAAGAAGACAAAGTCAATTATTACAATGAAATGTGCAAAGATAAAACCAAAGAGAAGAACGTGGATGGCATTTCTCAAGCTGAAAGAAATGAAAAAAAAAAAATTCAAGCTTAAAGTTGCAATATTGAAAGATTAAAAGTTTCTATGGACAAAATATTGAATGATGCAGGAAACATCAAGGATGAAGGAATACACAGAGTCACTGTACCAAAAATTATTAGTTGATGTTCATCCATTTCAGGAGGTGGCATATAATCAAGAACTGATGGTATTGAAGGAAGAAGTCAAAGCTGCACTGAAGGAATTGGCAAAAATATAAGGCTCCAGGTATTGACGGCATACCCATTCAGATGTTTCAGCAAATGCATGCTGCACTGGAGGTACTTACTCATCTATGCCAAGAAATTTGGAAGACACCTACATGACCAACTGACTGGAAGAGATCTATATTTGTACCCATTCCAAAGAAAGGTGAATGAATGTGGAAATTATCTAACAAAATCATTAATATCACACAAAAATGAAATCTTGCTGAAGATAATTAAAAAATGGTTGCAACAGTATACTGACAGATAACTTCCAGAAATGCACGCTAGATTAAGAAGAGGACATGGAATGAGGGATATCATATGGCTCTTGTCTGAAAGCAAAGCATATCAGAAAGATGTTTACTTGTGTTTTGTTGACTATGCAAAAACATTTGATTGTGTGGATCATAACAAATTGTGGATAACATTGAGAAGAATGGGAATTCCAGAA